AAAACTATTGTTGGTATTAATGATATTGTTTTAGAAGCTGGTGAGGGTATTAATGAAGTTAGATAAAATCTATTGCTGGTACTAATGATGTTATTTAAAAGCTACTGTGAGTATTAATGATGTTATATTTGAAGCAACTGTGGATATTAATGATATAGTTTTAAAATGTACTGTGAGTATCAATGATGGGGTTTTAAAATCTACAGTGGTATCAATTATATAGTTTTAAAAACTACTGTGGTTTTTAATTATGTCACTCTAGAAGTTACTGTGGGTATTAATAATGCTATTTAAAATCTACTGTGGGTATTAATGACGTAATTTTAAAATCTACTATGTGTATTAACGATATTTATTAAAAATCTATTTTGGGTATTAATGAAGATATTTAAATTTTTCTGTGGGTATTAATGATGTTTGAAAAGCTACTGTGAGTATTACTGGTATTGTTTAAAGGTCTTGTGGGTATTAATGATGTTCTTAAAATCAACTGTAGGTAATAACAAAGTTTTAAAAGCTACTGTGGGTATTAATGATGACTTTTAAAATCTACTGTGGATATTAATGAAGTAGTTTTAAAATCTACTGAGGGTATTAATGATGTAGTTTTGTATTAATGGTGACTTTTCAAATCTACTGTGGGTATTAATGATGTAGTTTTAAAATCTATTGTAGGTATTAATGATGTAGTTTTAAAATCTACTGTGGATATTAATGATGTAGTTTTAAAATCTATTGTGGGTATTAATGATGTAGTTTTAAAAGCTACTATGGGTATTAATCAAGTTATTTAAAAATTGCTGTGGGTATTAATGATGTAGTTTTAAAATCTACTGTGGATATTAATGATGTAGTTTTAAAATCTATTTTGAGTATTAATGATGTAGTTTTAAAAGCTACTATGGGTATTAATCAAGTTATTTAAAAATTACTGTGGGTGTTAATGATGTTGTTTTAAAAGATACTGTTTGTATTTATGATGCTTTAAAAATACTGTTGGTATTTATGATGTTTTAAAAGCTACTGTGGGTATTAGTGATGTTTTAAAAGCTACTGTGAGTATTAATGATGTTCTTTTAGAAGCTACAGTGACTATTAATGATGTAATTGTAAAAGCTACTGTGACTATTAAATATTTTACTTAAAAGCTACTGTGGGTATTAATGATATTGTTATAAATCGAACATTGTATATTAATGATATTTCAAAATTTACTGAGTGTATTAATGAAGTTGTTTAAAATCTATTTGGGTATTAATCATCTCTTAAAAGATACTATGGGTATTGATTATGTTCTTTCAGAAGCAACTCGGGGAATTAGTGATGTTGTTTTAGAATCAACTATGCGTATTAAAAACGTTGTTTTAGAAGCTACTGTGAGTATTAATGATGCGGTTTTTAAAGCTACTGTGGGTATTAATGATATTGTTTTAGAAGGAACTGTAAATATTAAAAACGTTGTTTTAGAAGCTACTGTGAGTATTAATGACGTGGTTTTTAAAGATACTGTGGGTATTAATGATGTGGTTTTAGAAGCTACTGTGGGTATTAAAGGTGTTACTTAAATGTTACTGTTGGTATTAATGATGTACTTTTAAAAACTACACTGTGTTCTAAAGATGTAGTTTTATAGGTTATTCAAGGTATAAACGATATTGTCTTTAAAATCTACTGTGGGTACTAATGAAGTTATTTAAAATATTCTGTTAGTATTAATGATGTTTTAAATCTACTGTGGTTATTAATGTTGTTTTTTAAAAGCTACTGCGGTATTAATGATGTAGTTTTAAAAGCTACTGTGGGTATTAACGATATTGTTTTTAATATCAAATGTGGGTAATAATGAAGTGATTTAAGATATTCTGTGGGTATTAATGATGTAGTTTTAAAAGATGCTGTGGGGTATTAATGATGTTGTTTTAATAGCCATTGATCTTGTTGAAAGTCTATTATGGGTATTAATTATGTTTTAAGAGCTATTGTGGGTATTAATAATATTGTTTCAAAATATAATGTGGGTATAAAAAATGTTTTAAAAGGTACTGTGTCTATTAATAATATTGTTTTAATATCTAATGTTGGTATTAAGTTTCTGTTTTAAAAGCTGCTGTAGGTATTAATGATGCTGTATTAAAATATACTGTGGGTATTAATAATGTTGTGTTAGAATATACTGTGGATGTTATATATTTTTTTAAAGCTACTATGGGTACAATTGATGTTTTTAAATTACTGTAGGTATTAATGAAGTTGTTTTAACATCTACATTGGGTATTAATGAAGTTATTTAAGAGCTACTGTGGGTATTAATGATGTTCTAAAAGCTACTGTAACTATATGTGATGTAGTTTTAAAAGGTACTGGGGTGTAAATAATATAGTTTTAAACGCCACTGTGGGTGTTAATCATGTAGTTTTAAAAGCTTCTGTGGGTATTAATGATGGTGTTTTATAATCTACAGTGCGTATTAATGATATAGTTTTAGAATCTATTGTGGTTATTAATAATGTTTTAAAAGCTACTGTGGGTATTAATGATGTTTTTTTTTAAATCTACTTTGGGTATTAATGATGTTTTTTTTAAAATCTATTGTGGGTATTAATGATTAGTTTTAAAAGCTACTGTGGGTATTAATCAAGTTATTTAAAATCTGCTGTGGGTAT